TAAGTGCTCACACTAGCGTAGAATACTCTTCATGTTGGTTGTTCATTTATGGCTTTTTTTCCTGTGGGAAAGGGGGATGGGGAAGGAATTGTTGAATATGCAAAATGCTTGAAGTGTTTTCGGTTTCAGTAAGATGAAGGGTAGTGCTTACTGTGCATCAGGTATCCAAGATGAAAGGAGGGTGCTGAACTTTATAATTATCTCTCAGTCTATACCATGAAGTTTGAAAAAGTTGCATGTTAGAACTTGCGAGCATTTAATGAATTTCAAGTTGCAAGTTCATTTCTGTTGCCATTCCTGAAAGATACAGCCAATGGACCAAGAAGAATACTGAACAAGTCACACAAGGAGCGTTAATGCAGTCTGCTATGTCGACTTCATTCCTAGTACAAGTACATTTAGACACACATGCACACATGTTTGTAAAGTAACGTAGTCTGCCAAAAGTTCTGATGTATTGTGTCTCTGGTAGAGCATAGAACAAAAACATGTTTAGTATCTATCAAAACCCTCACATTTTAGAGCTATAAAATCATTTAGTTGCTTTGAATTTAAACATATGCTTGAATGTATTCTTTTTTTCAGTTGTTTAGATTTCCTGAGTAAGTGTACATTTCTACATCAAAGACAAAGATATGATAAGCCTTAATTGATCTTGGAAGCTGTATGTTCTCATGTGATACTCAGCTGTGCTGTTTGATGTATGTAACCTAATTTTCAGCCCATGCCTCTGCCTGTAGAGCTTTACTCTTTACTTACTCTTCACCGTATTTGGAGCATTTATAACGTAGTAAATACTGTGGTTTGCATAATAATAGTATTCCAGGTTTTTCGAAGCAGAGTGGTTTGGTACATGTGTATGTAAATTTATCTCAGTTGTGTGTAGAAAATAGTATGTGTGGGGGTTTTTTGTTTGTTTGTTTTGTCTCTCTTAATGAGGTAGCCATTTCTGAGGCAAATCCTGCTAGATTGTGCTGGCAAGTTTAAGAATCCCCTAAGGGTACTTTTATATTCTTGAAAGTTTATTTATAAGATAAACAGTAGTTATCTATTTGAATTACATATGTTAATTCTAAGATGCAAAGCCACTACCCACTACCTGCTTCAGTAGGTGAACACCAATTTTGGAGCCACTGTCATGGAAGATAAATTTCAGGTACCAGGTGTTACTGTTGTATGAAGAAAATGCAAACCTCTCTGTTCAGTAGAATTTATTGAACATCCGATCTGGAACTGTGTAAAATCAATCAGTGGGAACTTGTGAACAGTTAAGTTAATACACAGGGCTTTTTTCCTCCATTCTTCTTATTATGTAAGAAAATAATACTTGTCATTTCAAGAAAACAAGTGTGGGAATTCTCCTCTTATCCTGAATAGACATAACTTGCATCTGAAATTTAAGAACCTCTACAAAGAAGTTTAAATATAAAAGCATGTATTTGAAGAAACAGGTGCATTCCGATAATCTGTCCAGATTTGTACAGACTGGGTTGGTTTTGACAGCTGTTTTATTATCTTCCTATTTTATGACTTCTCCTGTTATTGCCTGTAGCTGCATTTAGGTTTGACTTACCCAGGTGTGCTGCAGGACAGAAGAGAACTGAAAACAAAATCTGAATTCACAGCTTGGTTTGCATATCGTTCTTGTCGTGACAGCCATTTTAGATGTTGTCTTTCATGGCTTTCTGTATTTCATGATTTCTCCTCTTAAAAGTTTCGTTCCTTTGAAGTAGTATCCAAAGTTTGCCTACACCTAGTCTATGTAGTATAAATGTTGTTTGATGAAAATGTGTATTGCTCTTAACGAAGAGCCAGTGATGTATTGTGACTTAGCTGTCGGTATTGACATTTAACACCACTTCTTTTGCACAGTATCATGTAGCTTGTTTTCTTTAGGTTAACACTCATGGTAACTTTTTATTGAATTTTCCCTTTTGTTTTGCATTCTCCTCTCTCCTCTGCTTGTCATTTATTAAGGTACAACTAGTTTGTTCTTTATAAACCTTAGTAAGATTCAACACAGCCCTCCCTGGAAGGGTTCAAGGCCAGGTTGGACGGTGCTTTTAGCCACTTGGCCTGGTGGAAGGTGTCTCTGCCTGTGGCAGGGAGGGTGGAACTGGATGATCTTTAAGGTCTCTTCCAACCCAAACCATCCTGTGACTCTATGGTTGTGACTGCTCTGATAGATGAAGTGTAAACTGTCTTATAAAGCTGCGTGTTCTCCTGGAAGTAAAATAATAGCATACTTCTTAAACGTTTAAAAATAATTCTCCTCAATCCAGGATGTTTGCATAGTGGTTAAATACCCTTGAACCTCAGTTTCAGTCTTTTGGTAAATATTTTTATGTTAAAAATCTCCTAGAAAAGAGCCGTGCTTTAGATAGGAGAGAATTTAATTGTCGTTCATGTCTCTTGGCTTTTATCCTCTCGTGAACAGTCCTGTGTTTCCTAAATAGCCTAGTAGGCGCTGGTGCTGGCTGTGGGATGTGCTTGGGCTGTCAGTCTTCACGTTACTTGAGGCCCTCTGTGGGTTGCCTGTCCTCGACTGTTAAGGCCAAACACAGGGAACTGCTTTCTTTAGTTTCAACAGAAAGAAATTACAGTGCCGTTGGAGCTGCTGTTTGTGTTGTATGGGGTGTTAGAGTAATGCAAGCCTTGCGCTTTAGATGTGTAAAGCAAAAGGCTCTCTGAGCAATCACAGGAATTATGGAACAGCTAGCCTGTTCCTGTATTGAAGTATTTTCATATCACAAAATTACAAACGTAACTGGCACCCTTACCAGCCTTTCTCTGTAAAAAACGAACAAACAAAACGGCGAGTGTACTTGCCTTCTCAGCCACACTGTGCAGATCAGAACAGATGATGGGAAAGCACAGAGCAGAGAAGCTGGCTATGCTCCCGGTATATCTGTTAAGTAGATAAAGACTTTTTTTAGGGCTGTCGGTTGGCTTCTTTCGCTTTTGCCTTTGAATCTCCTCATGGTGTATTTTTAAAAGTATTTATTGTGCTACTTCGACAGAGAGGTGTGTTTGTAAAGGTTCCAATCTATGGCCTTTGTTTTCGAAAATGAGAGTGGGCTAGACAAAGATGGACTATCAGTCTGAACTTTGGATTTCTTGCTTTTAGCCAGCTTGAATCATACCATAAACTCTATTTAAAGATTTTGTTTTTTGTATTTATTTTCCACATCCTTGACCCTGACTGGTGAGCTGGACATTTGTGTTTGCCTTGGCAAGCTCCAAGCTGCTCATCTAGGGCAGGATGAAAACTCTTTTTTCCTTTTGTAAACAAACTGTTCCTTCAGTATTTTCCATAAAGATTTATACCACCATTTTGCAACGCTTCTAGGAATTGAGAAAATCTTGCCATTCAGAGTTTTCATTTTACACAGCTTATAGCACTGCGTAGAAATGTTTGATTTTTATATGTTTTCTGAGGTTGGATTTCAAGAGCTTTTTTCAGAATGTTTTTGAATTCCAAAAATACTACATTTCGTCTTGAAGGGGTTTATTAAAGCTGTAAGTCAATATTCATTGTTGCCTGTCTAGAAATGGGATTGTTTGTATTTTTTATTCATCTAACGCTAATGCATGTGTGTTAGACAGTGCAACTGTGAACACTGCCCCATTGTACTCGACACTGTATACATGCAAAATACTGCTTTGTGCCCTGAAGAATTTACAGTCTAAATAACTGTTCGGGTTTTGTATTTCTTTGGATATATTTCAGTGGTCAGGATGTAAAATGAGAGAATAACTTATTGGACCACTTTATGCCAACACACAAAATATCTTTTGGAACACATAAACTGAATTTCATTTTCCTCAAGGACAAAGGACTGATGCTGCTCCTTTTTTGTTAAGTCATTGGCAGTGAGGGGCTCAGTTTTGAGTGCTGTATGCCATAGAAATGGCATTCTTGTTCTTGTAATCAAAGACTTGTCATGGTACTCCAGCAGTATTGCTGCTAATCTCGGCAAGTTTGAAATGCTCTAAGTTGGAGATGAAGTTTTATCTATTAGAAAATTGATACTATGATGTTAAATCTGAGTACCCATGTTAGTCCTGATCCCAAGTTACTTCAAGCCCTGCCAAGTGGAAGAAGGGTAAGTGTCCTGAGCTAAACCTCAAAAAAAAATCATTAAAAGCCTTTTAAGGGCACCCACATTTCTCTGGAAGAAAATGGTCATATTCAGAATATGGTCGTCCTCATTCCCCACCTCCCGTAATAGTTCTGCTTGCAAGTCCCTGTATTTTTCCTCAGATCGTGTGTTCTGCTCCCTGGTAACTGGTGTGAGTTTATAACACTCACCTTACTGTGTTCACAAGGATACCAGATTCCTTGGTGTCCTGTGAAAATGCTCGCTTTTTTCCCCCCAGTCTATAACTGCTTACTCAACAAGGGCAAGTAGCAAAGTAAAAGTACAATTATATTGTACTGCAGAAAAAATCTGTGTAGTTGTGAAATTTCTTTAAACAATAGAAAAGTACAATTTTCCATCTAACTTCTCATCTTTATGCTGCTGTTTCTGAGATCTAATTTTTGAGTGCAAAATGAAGTATTGGAGAACAATTAGTTCTTCATGAATGTCTTGAAAACTTTCTGCAGTGTTTAGTAAAGTATGCTATGTATTGTAAGTTATTATCCACATTAAGTATGTGCCAATGAGTCAGCAAACCAAAAGAAAATGTCTGGTTTTTGTTCTACAGCTTACTGTAAATGATAATAAATAGCAAATAACCAAACTGACAGTTCAGGAACAAATTCTGCAAAGTACATCTTAAAAAATACCCTCAAGTTTACAAATATCGAATGCTGTGTAGGTTGTTAACAAAAGAGAAAAATACTGAATTTTATGTAAAGCTCCATTGGTATTAGTCAACAGTCCATAAAATGTTACGTATTCTTCCTTTTAAAGAGTAATGCTAATTTTATAAAGGTATATTAAAAGCATATTTGAAATCCACAAACTAAAAATACACTTCCTTTTTTGTTGCAGATCTGGGACATGAGTGATGATGAAACAGTCTGAAAATCAGCTGAATAAGGTGGAAGATGACCTACTTTGGACTGCAGCGTTGCCTTTTATCTGTTACTCGACAAGTTAATGATTGCTTACCCATTCTGACTGCTACAAATACAAACAAATATAATCCACATTTTGACATGAATATCTTCACCCTAAAAGCAGTCTGTTATGGATATAACTCTCCACATTTTCATTTTTATTATGTAAATAACTAAAGCAATGTGGTTGTGTTTAAACCTCATCTTCTTTTCTTTTTTTTTTTTTTTTTTTTCCAGTTTCTAAATATGGCTTACATATAAAACATGCTGCTTAAGTAAACTTTGGTGTTTTATTTGTCCCAGTTTTTATTTTACTTGTCAATGGACATGTTGAAGCAGCATGTCTAAATGTCTTTTTTCATCTTTCCCAGATTTGTGCCCCTTTAGTTGGAATTAATTGTTAATATTCTGCTTTTGGGAGTTAAACTGCGTCTTTAAAGGACAAGAGGAGTAGGTAAGAACCTACACCTACTGCCTACACCACATTGCTTGCTGTTTCAAAGTACACACTTAGAGTACAATTGATTGTTCTTGCCTGTGTCAATGGAGGTGTTACTATCTGTAAAGATCTCATCATTTCATGCTATGGAAAAAATGTGGTTTGACTTATTTTTAAACAGGAAAGACCAAAATGCATTGGTATCATGATTCCCCTGAAGTTTAGAGAAAGCTCTGTTATATGGTAAAGATTGCTTTGGGGGGGTGGATCACTGATTCAGTCAAAATCTGTAGAGAAATGCTGAACTGAAATACGAAATACGTTCTCTAACTTTGCTCTTCTTGGATGCTGTCATGCAGTACTTCACAGGTGTTAAAAAAAAAGCAATTCTGATTTTCATTTTGGTTGGATTTTAAGTTTTTCAATTTCTGCCGCATCAGCAATGGCTTCAGAGATTATGGCTGAGCACAAACAATATTCTGAGAATCCCTGAATTTAAAAGATAACTTGAGAAAGAAGGATTTGCAAAGTGTTGAAGTATATTACTACAAAATTGAAAGTGAATCTCTTGGGTTTTGTATTGGAATAGGTTTTAGAAATATATTTGAAATCCCTTTTATGGCTTTATATTGTGGGGATTATGAACTAACTCAGAAAAAATGCAAATCACTTTATCTGCCAAGCAGTCTTTATTTCCAGTGTATATTATGAAAATTAGTTGGTCAATCCAATTATTTTCGTTCCTTCCTGAATATTTGGTGTAGATAATTTCACAGCTTCTCTCATCCCCTGTCAGAAGTTCTGTCAGGTCAAATTTGCCTAAAAACAAGGATATCTGCAACTCCCATATTCCAATCATGAAGATTTATTGAAACATGCTGAGGTTTTCATCAAGTGTCTATAATAGCTATTATTTCTATTTATTTTAACTATCATATTAATTATATTTATGTAATTTCTTATGTTGCCTTAAGGGAATGTCTTTATTTAGCTGACTTCATTGTAATGTAAAAATGTATATGAATGAAATATATTTTTTGGAAGACTAGTAATCATAGGAAACTGATCTTTTGGTGGTCAAGCAATGAACAGTAAGACTAATAATATGCCATGTCCTTTTCAAAGCAGTTTGTTAATGTACATAATTAGTTATGACCTCAAATGACTTCCCGTTTTTAGCCATGCCATAGTCCAACCGGAATCATGCGTCAGTACCAGGGTAGTTTAAAGGGAATGATCTGCATTTTTATCTTTTGGAGTGTAGAAGTCTCTTTGCAGTTTTTGGTTATCTAAAACTTGAAAACTGGACATCTTGCTGAAATGACCAACATTAATAATTATTTTAAGTACCTGAAACTCTGCTTATCCTGTTAAAGTTACATTGTAGCTTTACATTGAAAGTATCTGTTTAACTGCAGAAGTATACAAGATCGAAAGGTTCAAAACTCAGGGTTAATATAATGTTTCCTTACCTCTGTAATTTCAGTAACATACAACTCTCAGGCTGAGCTGTTTCCTGTACATATGCTTCCCAGATGTCTCTGATGTCCAGAAACACTTCAGTTTGACTTGGAATAACTTCCGTTGTCTAACTATAATGTTGTTTTCTTTCTCCTTGCAGACCAGAATTGTTCTTGTTTTGCTTTTACTCAATTTCTAGGCATTTACTGAGTGAGGAATCATGAGAATCCTTTCAAACGAATGAATGCACATTCAAATACTATTAACAGATGAACACATTTATTTACTGGCTTGTATGCACTTACTGTCAGGATTTTGTCACAGTCCTCAGCTCCAGTTATTGCTGTTTGATGGAAGAAGCTGAACTTTACCTTTCTTCATGAAGGAGGTAGGAGTTAAATTCTATTTGTGCTGCCATGACCTCCTAGGCATCCGTGAAGAGCCCAAACTCATACTTCCATTGTAGAACTCGGCAGCTACCATGGCTTTTCAGGTATAAACCAAATCTGTTGGGAATGAACAGCCTCAGAGGAACCTACTCATCTTCCGAAACTATCAAACAGAAATGTAATGGCATTATATAGCAGTGTGGGTGGGACCATATCTCACAGAAGGCAACTCTGACACCTAAATATCACATCTGGGGACATTTAATAGTGTTAGAAGACCACAGATCTCAATGGAGAGCTGTTGACATAATTTTTGTGCTTGATTATTTTAGAAACTCATAGAATGATAACCTCTGTTTTGCTTTCACACTTCTACTGACTAGAATTTTTCTTCAGTGTTATGCCTTCAATGCGTTTGCTGGCTGAAGTCTACAAGTGGTCACCGAGTACTACCACATTTGTGAAAGTGAGGAGCTTGAGATTCTACATGAGTTTTCTTCTTTAAAGACCACACTTGCTCTCATCCTTGCTTTCACAATCTGCTGCTAAGTCCTCTTCACCTTTGTCATAGCCTGTCAGTCAGGAATAAACTTCACTTAGGACATGCCCTTTATATCATGTGTAAATTGTCTTAGCGCCATTAAAGCCAGCAGAATCATAAGCTCAGCCCACATGAGAATCTATTCCGTGGAGCATGGGGCTAGTTTGAGTCTTAAGCCATCAACATTGGGCTCTATAAGGGAGAAAGGGTACAAATTTGAAAATTATATTGAAATCTGCGAAGAAAGATTCATGATAGCCCAGACAGGTTGGTCGAAAAAGTCACCAGGGAATTGAACCATAGGATTTATGTTCCTAGGAAACTGATGATTCCCAGGAACCAAAGGGGGATTCTGCTTCAGTAGAAGTCAACAGCACAATACTTATTTAGGCACCTCAAAGGGAACTGCAGTGATTGCTCCAGCCCTTAAAATCATTGACCTCGAGCCTGGAAAAATACTCTTCCCTTCCTTGAGTTCTGTATGGCTTTGGTATTGTGTCCTCGGTGAAGTTCAGCGACATAAACTAAAATTTCACTTTTGTCACCTTTGATATTCTTACTCCATTTCCTGTGTAATGTTCTTTCTAATTTTATTTCTTTGTATAAGATTTGGTGGCATACCTTAAGTACATGCCACATAAGTATTAGCAAAACTGAATAATTTTTCTATATATAATCATTTTCTTTTAATTTCACACTTGTTCTCTCATGGAAAACTCTTACTGAAATGGGTTTTATGTATTTCTGAACTTTTTGCTGTGCACCCTCGAAGTGTATCATAGCAGTTCTTTCTTCCTCTTACTGAATCAAATTCCTTCTAAATGTACGTTAACCAGTCTCATTGGAATTGCTATTAGAATCGTAGAATCATTTAGGTTGGAAAAGACCCTTAAAATCACTGAGTCCAACTGTAAACCTAGCACTGCCAAGCCCACCACTAGCCGCTTCAGCATTGCACTACTCCAGGACAGTGTCTGGCTGGGAAGAGTTCACCCAACTCCCACCTTTCCTTTGAGTTTTCTTCCTCTTTTTCAAGCCAAATCATAAAAACAGCAAGATTGCTTCTCAGCAATCTTTGTGACTGAGAATAGACTCTGGTATGCAGGATTCTCATTAATGCCAGTGAAAAGATCACTAAGCTTCCGATCACTGGCTTTTGGGCTCTTGATCAAGAACAGCTCCGCCTGTGTCTTGCAGAATCATTAAGAGCCATGACAGAATCCATGAGGATATTTTTATATAGCTTCTCTTCAGAGTATAACCATATCTTCAGAGTTCAAGGAGAGTCCTAAGTCTCTAGTCTTACGGGAATAGGAAGGATAATTCACATTCTTTTGAAAACAAATATGTTGCAAGCTGACACATAGTCAGCCTTTCTTGTCGTTCTGCCGGCTGCCCTGCGGCGCGAGTCCAGCCCGTGCTCTGGGAGCGCGAGCAGCCCTTCTCGTGCTGCCCGTCGGCTCAGTTTGCTGTGCTGTAACTTTGCCTTCAGAGTGTACAGAAGCTGAAGAGAGCATGAACAGCTAGATCCTGAGATTTTTTCCTTGCTGCTTTTCCAGATTTATGTACCCAAGTTTTTTGGGGTTTTGGGTTTGGGTTTTTTTTTTAAACAATAGTGCAATACGTTCGTTAGAAACAAATAAGCATTTATACCCCAAAGAGAGCTATTAAAGAAGTATTTGCAACATGGTAAACTTTAGCAGACTTCCTAAGAAACATAGTCTGGAAGATATCCTGAGCCTGTTACCATTTTTTTTTTTTTTTTTTAATCTTGACATGGCTTCATTAATTCCTTTTTTTTTTTTTTTTCTTTTTTAAATTTTCAGTGCAGTTGATGTGTTTGTGCACATCCTGCCAAAATGAAACCTCCCTTTAGGAGGGTGTTGTGCACCTTTTCTCTTTCAGAACACCTGGATTAACTGTTTTGAAAGACAGAAATACCACACTAGAAGGACTTTGGACTGTCCCAGTCTGACAAGGTGTAAATTCCTAACCTATGAAAAACCTACTCACCCGTCCCATTCCAGTTCCAGCTCTCTTTCCCTTGCAGCTGCCTGGACCTTCTCCAGAACCGTAACAGTGTTTAAAAATACTGTGGCACCACACAGGTAACGCTTTAGGTTTGAAATTAATAGAGACTTTCCCTCTCTATTACTACTCCAGCTATCCAGTGTAATAATTACTAAAAGAGTTAATTTTTTTATTTTTTTTTTTTTCTGTGCAGCACTTCACAGGTTTTGGAATAGAATGCCCTAACGATTTGTTGACAGTGTTTACTTTTATTGATACCCTTTTGTCCACTGCCACTGGTAGTAGTGGCTCTTCCCAGTGAGCAGTGATGGACACAGCCAGACTCTGTGCTTTGGTGGTAGCACTACTCCTGGGTTGACGCAGAGAGGTTAACACTGCTTGCTTTTTCCCCTAAACTGTAAAATGAATGGAAATTGGATATATGCACTTGGCAAAGAATACCTATGGGATTTGTTCTGTTTTATCCCAGGTCAAAGAAACTGGTCTGTTGCTCCAACCCATTGTTTTGTTGAAGTATTGTTGGCTGTTCTTTGAAGTCATGTAGTGTTAACCAAAATAGGCCGTGGCTCGGGCTAATTTGTAGCCACTTTTCTCTTAAGTACAGTAGCTGAAATTCAGCAGTCGGTGTTCTTCCACTAGCCCGTGATTGGTGTTTGCTTCAGGTTTTAGTGAAGTCTTTGGAGTGAGTCACTTGAGGATTATTTTAACCTGGCCAAGGAAATTGGCGCTGCTGAAGGGAAACTGAAGCTACGCCCAAAAGAATTAATAGCAATAAGCTTGAGTAGCAATGATGTTAAGTACCTTAAGGTATTCTCTATCTTAGGGTGGCATTTTTTTCACCTAATTTCTCAGTTCAAATGATCTCACCCCAGGATAAGGATGCAGATGAGTACCCCAACCATATATAATTTCAAGTTCTAATTGTTGCCCTCGATAATTGATAATATTACTTGCCTGTTGTGACTTCACCGCAACATTTTTTCAGATCTGGTGGAATTATTTAGGACATTCTCTGAAAAGATTTTCCGAACTCATAAGCTGTTGGTCTAACTTTGCAAATGAAGTAGCACGCTTGCTTTCTGTTTAATCAGGCCAGTACTCCCCTGCCATTGTGGCTTCTTGCAGGCACTTCCTTGGGCTTGGGGATAAAAAGCGGCAGTCAGGGGCTCTGAAAACAAACATGTTATGTTTCCTGGCTGGCATGGAGCACACGCTGTCTTTCCATCTACTATAGCAGTCTAAATGCCTGTTTCCTCTTGTTCTTTGAATAGATGTTTATATAGGACATGGAGATAAAGTACAATGGACTTTGCCTCTGGAACTGAAGGTTCCAGAGTATCATTTTAAATGCTAAAAATTTCAAATTCTTAACAAAATATTTTAGTAAGCTAACAGGAAAAGACAGAAGTATAGATATAGTGTTGTACTGCTGCAAATCAAAAGCACGTTTTTTAAAAAAAAATATTCTTCATAACTTCTCTCCTTTCCCATACAGTAACTTTCTGTTCTTACATTCTTTGGTGGTAGATTGCTGCTTCAGTAGACTTTGAGCAGTCAAAAGCCCAGGCTTGTGTGTAACTTCAATTTGCTTTTTAGCACTAGGACATACATTTGATTTTGTAAGATCTCAGCAAAACGATTCATTGTTTGATTTGTTAGTGAAATACTGTTACGCACTACGTACATAAGAAAGGAGACGTTACTCTGGTTTCATTCGTAGGGAGGAGGTCAGGGGTGTTTTCCTCGATTTCTCTTTTGGTCTAAGGTGTGTGCCCTCTTAAGAAACTGCAGTTGACGCATTCCGGCGAGGCAGCGCTGCAGGAGGCTGGTGCATTTGAAATGCAAGCTGGTGTCTCATTTCTGGAATGATTTTTCTTTCTAAATCAAAACCAGTATGGGCTAAAACTGTGAAAGAAATGCTGCTAAAATTGTTTCCACATCATGTCAGTAGGCTTGGAAGAAAGGCAAGGGCCGTGGAGATTCCAAGTCTGGCCCACTCTGAATGTATCTGAACTCTAGTTTTTGACAGCTGTTAAATTGGTGTCCTTCCCACCCCACACTCCCCCCCTTCCTTTTTTTCTCTCTCCATGAATGTCTCCTTCCCTCCCCCAGTGCTCGGTGCCTCACTGGTGAGGGAGTGATATGGATGAACAAGCAAATTCATTTCTAGCGACAGACTTTGTTTCAAATTAGTGTGAGAGGCGAGGAAATCTATAAAGTAGGTATGATTTCACTTGGGTGCTTTGCTTTGTCTTTAAGTGTCTTTATTTTAATTTCGTGCTTCAAAGTCTGACTTTTATGCAGTAATTCTGTAGGTGTTACCACTTCCTCAGGAACCTGTGACTCAGGCAAAGTATAAATGAAATGACATCACCGACAACTCTTGTTTGAATTGCCTGTTTCCTAAATAGGGACTGTTGGTCTTTCTTTTAATACTTGCAGCTTTGTTTTGGGTTTTCTTGGTGAGGGGGGAGGGTATGAGGGGGTTTAATTGTCTAATTAGGCCTTAGTAGAGGCTCTGTTGTTACAAAGCAGTCTGAATTCCCTCCTGATTGGGGAGGGGGGGGAAGGAAAAGGTCTGAGCATAATTTTCCATTCTTATTTTGGAAGTAATGCAAACAAAAGAAATGTGTTTTCATACTACTGGGCGGTTTTAATGGCTCTCCCTGGCTGCTCTCAGCCGTGTGTATTTGCACCACGGGAGATTCGTGGTGGAGTTCAGTGTTCCCTCCCCTGCCACTGATCTTGTCGGTGATCGCGCTATGTAAGTACCCGGCTAAAACAGGAGGAGCCGGCGGAGTCTGGTTCCTTGCGGCGTGTCTCCGAAGGCTGGAGCAGGTGGGCACGGCACGGGGCACGGCGGCTGCGCCCGCCGCAGCGCGCCCTTGGCCAAACCCCACAGACGTCACTGTGGGAGCCGGCTGTTAAATGGTTGTTACAAGGAATGTCAGGAATTCTTGTCATCAGAGGAATGTGACAAGTTGGCTGTCTGTCCAGGTCATTTATTCCCAGTGTTCCTGGACAGGCTATAAACGTGTTGCGTTTGTTTATTATTGCCATGAGCAAGGGATCACTGTCCTTCTGTTTAAACAGTAGCAGTTTTGGAACTCTGTAGGAACTAGGGCAGCAGAGACTTTGGATGTGTCCGTTTGGTTGTGCTTTGATGGTACGGGTTCTCACTGAGCAGGCAGTGCCATTATGGGTGCCCTCTAAAAGAAAACTGAAAGAAAGTCCATGTATTCAGGGAGGTGGTACCAGTGACAGCCACAGGCAATGGTCTTTCTCCCAATTATGTCAATCCATGTCAAACTTTGGCACTGTTAAGAACCATGTAATTAGTTATTTTTCAGATGTCACACTAAATCAAAATCCTACAGAAAAAAAAAAAAGGTTCTCTTTCTGTTTTCTTTCTAATTTTTTTTTTTTTTATTTCATCCCACCTTCCTAAAGTTGCTGTTCATCTTCCTTTGGATCCTTTGTTTTCTCAGTTACCCTTGTGCAGGGGTCATGCATGCTTTTAATGAAAAACTCCTCCTCCAGTTCCATCCAGTGGCTCTTAGAGCAACAGCTGTATATTGTTGTTGGTACTAAGCTGGGAATGCTTTGAGATAATAGATGGTATAGATGTAATAATATTACAATTATTTGGTCACACAGATACAAAGACAGTATTCCCTTAATGAAAATGTTTACTGTTTCATGTCTCTTGCATGCAGTTAGACACTGTTTGTGATTTTTCTGTAGGGCAGTAGTTAGGAATGAGTGAGCTATACACACTGTGCCCCGTGAGCCCCACGGGGCAGCAGCTGGGGAATATATGTAGCTAGATCATTCTCACCAACTGCCTGATACGCTTACGTGACTAGTGCTCTCAGAAATCCTGGGGTAGGACTCTGCAATTACTTGCTAACTATATTTTGTTGAACAGGAATTCAGTAGTGTTTAGCAGTCAGATATTGCAAACTTTAGATAGGCTTCCTTGTAGCCACACTGATTTGCAAGGGAGGAATGGTGCAAGGCAACTGGTGTGGTGTTGTACAGCATTTCCCTCTTGCTGGGGATATTCTGGTTTCATTTCCAACAGTGATAGTGTCTGTTACTTAATTTAGCTTCCTGTTGTTAGTATTTGGAAATGTCATTAAGCAATTCTGATAGATAACATCAAGATATCCGCTGCTTAAAAATCGGCTCAGAACAGAGAATAACCACATGCCTGTTGACCTGAGATACTGAAGAAGAATGGAAAAGAATGTGATTGAAATGTCACTTGAGTGTCAGGAGGGGGCTGACACTCATGCCACGAGGACATGCAGCAGAACGTTGTTTCAGAATATGGCCAAATTACTGGTTTTAAATTATTTTGTTGCTATAGTAGTAGGTGAGTGTAGCTTCAGAAATTTTCTAAGCCAAAATGTTATGGTCTAGCTTTCACAGTCTGGAGATTAATATAATGAATTACTGTGATTTTTAAAAAAAACACTGCTTATTTCAAGCAACTTTGTCCTCTCCATAATAGTCATAGATGTGGGAAGATGGATTGAGGCAGAACACATGGGCTGTACCACAGACCTCCAGAGAAGCCAAAGAAAGTCACACCATCTCCGCCTCCCACCCATTGCCTGAGCTTTCTTTGGTAGAGTCACTTCTGCTGAGTAAGTGCCTCGTACAGCAAGTCCAGTCTTGATCGAGTCCGCGAGGCAATAGAATAGCACAAGTATTAGAGGTGATACAGGTATATCTCTTCTCTAACACTGTTGATTAATGCCTTTTAATTTGATCAGTTTGGACAAGGAGCTCAGAAGTGGTTCGTGAAACTCAGTTGCCTCAGGTTTTAGATGCTCAGCTTTGGATGCTCTAAGCCAGACTTTGATGATGTCTTAAACCGGGTTTCAGAATTCTAAAAGGAGTCTGATTGCAAATGTAAAGACAATCTTACATTAAGCATGTATTTGAAAAACTTTATGTATGTAAAAGAGGATTAAATAAATCTGTTGTTAACTTTTAAATGCCTGTTGTTTCAGTTTTGCTTCCTTGCATGTAGGTACTGGAAAATTCGCTTACCAGGATGAGCATTAGGTTTTGTGTAACAAATCAGCTAAAATAGTGAGGAGTCACGGAAGATCTTTGTTATTCTTGTGGAAAAGAAATGCAGAAAGGGAAAAAGCTAGTTGAGTGCACTTTTTAAAAATATTTTTGGTTTTAAGGCTTGTGTTGTTTGTAACCAATCTGACTGCTAGAAGCCTTACTGTTTGTTTCGCAGTAGATGCATGCTACTCCCAAAGAGATTCAAATCCACGGTAAGCTTGGGTTGTTAGCACGGTTGGAAATCAGGGTAATATCAGTTCGCAATCCAGCCAGAGAGTGGCGAGAAATAACATCAGGTGTGTTCTCCAAGGCCTGCACTGCCATTTAAAGTGTCTGTCCCCTAGAATTAAAGGTTTGGGTTCATTTGCAAAAGGAAGGTGTGCATTGACTTTGGTAATGGAACAGAAGAATTAAGAAGCAAGAAGCAAGTAAGAATTGGACTTGTTTTTTTGTTGTTTTGTTGTGGGGTTTTTTTGTTTGGGTTTTTTTGTTGTTTTTTGGTTTTTTTTGTTTTTTTTTTTTTAATTTCATAATTAACAAACATTTCTTGACCATATATTACAAATGTAATCCAGAGGAGAAAAAAAAACCTTTTTCTGTCCATTTCCTGAGTGAAATACAGAGACCTGTTCATGAACCAAGTACAAGGTGTAAGTAAGTTGCCATGACCTGTAATTTGTTGGACTATCTAGTGGTGTTAGTGACATTTTTGTATTTTACTAAACTTCCACAGTTTAGTCACTGGCCATTTTCCCCAGTTAAACCTTTCACAGAAAAAGTACAAAACTTCAATTATGAGAGAAGGGCAAATAAACTGAAATCCTCTGAAATCACTGCCCACTGCCCCACATCTCTGTTGTAATGAAGCTCCGGTAATTCTTTTGTGCTACCATGCTAATATTTTCTTTTCTTCCCCTGTTCCCATTCTAGATGGGAGATATGAAGGGGCAGAAGAGCCAGAGGAAGGGGAACCTGGAAGAGAACCGGGGAAGACAGCGATCAAGAGATTGGCTTCTCGCTTGGGGCTTTACGAGCAGTGGATCGAGGACGCCCCAGTTTGGGAGTGTTCCCATTGGAGGTTTGGTCGTTGGCTTTGAGCAGCTTCCATTCCTCCTGCGAGCTTCAGGGCAGTTCCTTGGTTACCAACAGGTCTGAGCACAGCCCTTTTCCTGGTCTATCTGTGGGAAGTTCTCCTGAGGCTTAGAATCAATTTTCTTCTATTTTGGAGCTTCCTCTTGGGTTGCTCTAGCTATAAGGTCTCAGAGGACCAGAGGCAATACAGGTTAGCCAGCCAGCTTTCTACTTCTCCCTTTCACTTTGTTGCCTGCAGGAATTAAGTGCTACTTCTCTTTGGTCACCCAGCTTTTCTAGCGCTCTCAGGAAGGCGAGAAACATTCTTAATTTTAACCTACAGAGGAATTAGACCAGTACACTTGCTTAAGGAGACTTCTCAGCCACAAACAAAACAAAATATATCTGGAAGGTTCATGATGTGATTCTGTACCTTCGTGAGCGTTCCCAGGGCCTCCTAAACGCCATCCTTTGTGACAGTTCTTGAAGTGTTTTGGTTTGAGGTTATAGCGTAGCTAATTCCCACGTCAGGGCTGCAGAGCTAAGCAATGGAGGTTTCCTGGGGAGAGGATCTTTACTTTTTGTCGGTCTGACTAGTTGGGTAGATTATAGCTTTCTCAACTCTCAAAATGTTGTTGCTGGTCTCCCAGCAGTTTTTTTTGTTTGTTTTGTTTTGTTTTGTGTTCCTTCAATTCCCAAGAATCTGTTTTCTTTTTTCTTTAATTTAAAAATGAACACATCTGGTTTGTGGCTGTGTAGAAAGACTTGAAAATGTGAAGCTAAATGGCTCAAGAAGGGAATTAATTCCAAATGTAATTATTTATAATAGCCTGATTTTAATTTTGCTTCTGAAAAAATCAAGTGAAATATTTTCTCATACAGTGATTTCAGTGGGTTCTATGAAGATATAACACAGTTGTGAGCTGTCAGTGTTACTACCTTACCACCTTACGTGTCACTTATAGCCAAATTCAGTGACCTTTTAGTCACCGAAACCCTTCAGTATTGTTCTGTTCGTTATGCCTTGGTGTCTGTGCAGGACAAACAGCCAACAAGTCAGTTGAGATTTGTGCAAGTAATATAAGAGCAATGGTCTATATCCTCTCCTTAATGTTATAAAGGCAGAAAACCACTTTTTGAATGGCTCTGGAGTACTGTAAAGAAGTCCCAAAGCCCAAATCCTGTTGATTCTCTAGTAGCAAGATCGTATATTTGGCAGCTATGATGCTTTATTTCCTCTCTATACCAGCATTAGATGTTACATTCTGGGCAGCTGATCAAATTGGATACACTCACAGTTTTCTTTTTGTTGAGCTCTGGAAATCAGCATTCCGAGTATAGATTTCTATGCTATTAGTAGCTGAAAGGAAGAATTTCTTCTATAATTTTGAAAATGCCAGTTCAGAGAACTATCTGCACAGCTGGAGATTTTACTTTTGCAGTCACTGGCAAGTTACTCTAGTTCTGTGCCAGCCCCCAGGTGCTTCATGGCAAGTCACTGCACCTTTGCACAGCCACAGGGGTGGGGTGGAGGGGCTGAGTGCTCCACGTGAGCGCCGCGGGGCTTGGGTGGATGGAGGGGAGGGAAGGGTCCAGGGGGAGGTGCAAGGGGAAGGAAGGCAGTGTGTTGATGGGTGAGCTAGGTTGACCTGTGCTGGTAAAATTAAGGCTTCTCTCTGAGAAAAATGCATGTAAGTTGCTCTGGGAGTATGTCACGGGAGGACAGAACGTGGAGGAGATGCGATCCGTCGTGGGGCAACTGTTAAAAGGAAGAAACTTGTCGTATAAATAGGAGAGTATTTCTTCTTGCCTTCATTAGCTTCTCTTTCTTTAATGATGTATTATGGGTGGATCTGCTACTAACTTTAATCCTCAGGCTTTGCCCAGGCATTTTTCACATTTCCTGTGAGAACTGGTAGGACCAAAACTGCATCCAGAGTTCAGCTATAACAGGGCAGAGCGGGAGGAGAATCCCACACTCCTCTTTCCTGTATTTCCAAGCAGAAATCGTTTATTTGTTGGATTAATCACTAAAGTTACAGACATGTCAGCAAAGTCACCATTTGATTTATTACTGCTGATTTTGCATCATCCTGAAAGGTCAAAGCTTGACTCACATTACAGACTGCATTTTAAGGCCGGCAACTACAAAAGCGTTATTTTTTGTTGTGAGGAAATCTGTTCTTGCCATGAAAATCTTTAGAACAAGAGCCCTGGGATCCCACCATGTTCTGTGTGGTGGTGGCTTTGCAAGACTTGGGGTTTCCTTCATTTCCCCACCTGAAAACTCCACATTTGAGCCGATGACATTACAAGGGAAGCTGAAGGCTGAGTTAGCAAATGGATGAAATGACAGAAGAGTGGTTCAAAACAAAGATCTCCGAAATAATACATTTTAGGCAACCTCTATAGTGCAGTCTTTAAAAGTTGAAGTGCATTTTATGTTTATATGGTTGATCATTCTGAACCCTCTTCTTAACCTATATGCAGACAGCCGTGTCTTTATTACAATAAAGAAGAAGTCTTGCATGCTCTTACGTGGTATTTTCCTCTGGACTAGCTAATTCTGCCTTCTGCATATATCATCAAGGCTTTCTCAAAGCAAAAGGTAAATTATGTGCATACGTATGCCTGTGTTTCAGGAGACAAAATGAGTATATTGCTTACTTTTGAAGAAATAGGTTTACTGGTTTCAGATATTACTTTACTTACTTGGCTCTGCAGGTTAAGAAATTCCTTCTTTTAATCTTGATTTTCAGAGTCCTGGTGGAGGTATGAGAGCCACTGGGAAGGAGAGACTTAACAAAGAAGTGACCAAAGGTTATCGTTAAGATAAAAAAGACCTTCATGACAGAGGACGGCTTTTCTTTATTTTTAGCCACTCTGAATAATGAGAAGAAATCATCGTCTTCTTCAATTAGCTATCTCTTCCAGGTAATTTTCTCTCCAGCATTTTCCGTGGGAGGGGAAGTCAGTTTGGTGGCGGGAGATTTTCACCTTTTTCTCGCCGATTCGGGCCACGTCCTACTCTGTACTCACATTTTGAAGGCAGCTTGCCCGCTGCAGAGGTGAGGCCTCACCGCGGTTCTGTTACTTCGGTTTTGGCTTCGAAATAAAAGTGTTGGTATCAGTGCGTTAAACAACAAGAAGCTCCAGCAGCCAGAACAATGTCAGTAACTATCAATGCCATGAGAAAATGTTTGCTGGATAAAAGTCACTTCAAATTAAATAAAGGTGTGTCAGTGAAAGCAAGAGAAGAGGACTTTGCTGCTGCTGTAAACCCCGTAACAACACCGTGGTACTGTTTGAATACATGCATTTCCTTCTGAAGAAGTTAATATTCTGAGGTTTTCTGTAGCCTTAGCAGGAGCCCAAGAACTTGTCACTTGGAAGGAAAAAGGAAAGGAAAGGCCTTCATCTCCAAGTATTGTTAGTTCTTTCAATTATTTTCATCTCCCCATGTCCCCTTCCAAAAACAAAACCAAAAAAGTTTAGAATACTACAGTGGATCAGTGAAGAACAAAAGTTTGGTTTTAGCCTGAGAACTTTTTTTTTAAAAAAAAAATCGTTCAAGCACTTTTTTTTTCTCTGAAAGCAGAAAAATCCTGTATTTTTTATACTTTAACTATCTAGAACTAATATAATTGCAGTGGTGTATCAGGTGAATATTTCAACGCACAAGCCACATGTAATTCATACAACTAGACGCACATTATTTTAATACTTCAAGAGACAGGAGATTTGAGCTGTGTGTTTTCCTGGATTTAAAAAGTGACTGATTCCACCATGAATAGCAGGATGCTATCAGAAGTATTCTGTGTGTGTGGCATTTGCCCAAACTGAGTAAACCATTTTAAGATAAGCAGCTTTTTGACTAGTAAATGTAGCAGGCATGTGGCTGACACAGCTTCATGCTGACAGATGCCTTTGTGTCTGTCTTTGTGATGGAGAGAAGACAGATGTTCTCCTTGGCATTTAAGAAAGCTTCTGCTTAGCAAAATAAAGTGTAAAATTAGAATGAACAGTGCAACAGTGAACAGTGTAACCGGCTAGCCCACAAGCAAAAAAGATTGAAACAGTCTCATGAATGTAACGAAGTGTGTTCCTACAAGAAGTCAGTAAGTGCTTTGTCATTATTTAAAAGTAGCCTATAGAAAGATAAATTCTGTGTTTTCAACTCTGTTAAAATATAAATGCATGTCAGTCTGACTATCCAAGTATGAGTAATTCCATGCCAACCATTCTTCACAGAGAGGCATGCCAATCTGGTATAAATGCTTCAGCAATACAGCAGTTAGCAGCTAGAAAAACCTCTAAGTTAGCGCATTGCTGCCCGATGAACTGGGCTCCTGATCACATCACAGAGGAAAATAGGAGATTTTCCTATTTAATGATCCTTAGGGTTGCTCTTGTTGGGTGAGGAGGGAGGCTGCCTTCAGTGTGACGTTGTCCACTTCTAGCACCAGAGGAAGGAGCAGCATAGGAAGAGCTTTTACTGGGAATGGTCCAGCATTCTGGCACTGGTCCCACTGGGTCGCTCCTCAGGGGCTGGCCGTGGGTCTCATTCGGAGGGGTGTATCTGCAGAGCTGCTGCTCTGGTTTCGCTTTGAGACGAGCCCCGTCCATGTCAAGCATAAACCGTGTACGGAGACTTCGACGACGGTCTCGGTGGAGCGTCCGGTTCCCTTCAGGAATGCTCCCGTGCTGGGCCAGTGAGAGCCTCTGTCTCTCCCAAGCCGGTACTTACTGGTGTGGAAGTTCCTGAGGAGAGGGCAAAACCTCTGAGTGATGGTCAGGAATATTGAGTGTGTCAGCAAAGAGGCCGAGGGTGTTGCCCAAGACGGCGACGTTTCCCTGCCTCCGCCCGGGAGGGTGTGCGGAGGGGCCACGCTCGTGGGACGAGCCGTTCTGTAGTTGTGGGTGTCTGTAAAGGTGACGACCAGGTTTGCTGAGCAGAATTAAGCAGGAAAATATGAAACTTTTCTGCAAATAATAATCAAACCCGATGCCAAGCTCACCAGCTAGTCTAGACTAAACATGGACAAACACTGAGGACGTGCATCACCTTTGTTTCACAGAAGACTGAAGACTTAGGAATTCAAACCAGTTTTGAACTAAAAGCTTCGGGGCTCCACGGAAGATTCTCAGCTGCTGCAGGGTGCTCCTTCTACCGTTTTTGTGTCAGATAAAATGTACCAGGAACAGATTTGTCCTTGGGCTTTTACTTAAAGTTTAGTTTATTGTCTTGCAATGTAACCACTGTTTTTGCAATGGCTGTTCTACGCTGGATTTAAGTCTTCTGCAGCCTTCTCTCAGCCTGTGCTGAGGCTGTTATTAAGACACTTAAGTTTTCTATAAATCGTTAAACGTCTCGGAGGAAAGCTGCGATCAGGAAGTGGAGAAACAAGTGGTGTCTGTGGCTTTAGCTCGAGGATGAAGTTACTTGCTCTTCCCTTACCTCTTCTACAGAAGTGACCGATGAGTGACAGCGGCTCCCTGGGACACTGGGCAGGATTAGGCTTGAATGCACCCAGGAACTTCTCTGCGCTCAGGACGGTTGTACGACTGAAGGTTGAGCACCCCTGGGAGGCCGTGTACTGGCGTGGTGCTGTTCCTGGTTTTGCCACACACGCAGAGGTAAGAAGTAATAGCTACCCAGGTCTGCTGCTCTCTTTCAAGGCTTGTGCCCTGCTGATGGAGGAAGAACCCACCTGTATTTGTGAAATGTCACTCCTGGTGAGGAGTGCTGCCTCCGTGAGCCTCTGGAGCACCTCCTGGGTGTAAAAGCCTTAGAAAAGCCTCTACTGCAGGAGGGGACCTGAGGAGCTCTCCTGCCCGCAGCTCTGGAGACGCGCAGCACCGTCACCGCGTGTGCTGTGACAGGAGAGCACCCAGGGAAAATGGGAGAGCTTTGTCTGAAGAACAAGGCAGCTGCTGTGGGGTTATATGTAACTGCAGTTTAAAAATATACAGTTAAATTATCTATCTTGAAATGCACTCGAGATAGATGTTCCACAGAGAGGGGCAGGATGTTGCCATTGAAGGAGAAGTTAAAAAATTATTAAATTGGCATATTTAGTAAATTGGTCTATTTTCTGTCGTGGGCCCTTCAGGGATAAGGTGTGCTTCAACACACAGCATAGTCTAGCTGTGCAGTAACTGTCTGCTAAGGGAGGAGAGCTGGAGACACTGTGGGTAACGGACTTGGGCCCGCGCCCACGCCGGGTGAAATAGAAGCTCCTGTGTGTCAGGAAGACGCGGGCCGGTTTCTTATTTCACTGTTCCTCAAGAAGGATCTAAAGATAGTGGTGAACGTTCCCCTCAGCCAAGCGCAAGTGGGCCAACTCTGCTGAGTTAGAGCTCTTTCTTACACAAGTAACACTTAAGATACTCCTGGTGTGTTTTGCCAGGGCGTCGCGCTGAGCCCCAGGAGGGGCTGGGCACTGGCTCTGCTCTTGGGCAAAGGCCCCGGGGCAAAGGCTGGAAGACGATTTCACATCTTTTCTCTGTTGAGCGACTTGGCCTCCTCGGAGCAGAGGGGCGAGTTCCCCCTCCCCAGCAGTGCCCGCGCCCCTCCGGGAGCCTTCAGCCCACCTGCAGGGCCAGTTCAGCTGCTGCTCGGTAAGCGGCCTCTGAACCGGTGCCGTTACAGCCCCGGTAGCCTCTGACGGTGAACTGGTTACAATTTGGAGTTCAGTGCACGTGGCAGTTTCGAAGCCCGGCGGTTCCGTTACGCTCCGCAGCAGCGCGGCCGCTCCCCGCGCCGGCCCCAGCGGGACCCGAAGGGAGCGCGGTGCTGCCGAGCACCCTCCGCCCCCTCCTCTGCTCTCAGCTTTGAAGGAAATAAACCCCCGTGGCAGGTCCCTTCAGCCTCTACCGGCTCAGCACCGTCCGCGGGGGAGGCTCAGCGCTGGTTTACCAGCGAGGGGGTTGGTGCAGGTTGGGCAGGTGGGCAGCCGCCCCGCCTGCGCGCAGCTCTGCCCTCCCGCCGTGCCGCCGGGGCCTCGGTCGGCCGCCAGCTGCGCGTCTGGCCTCCCTCTGTGTTTGCATGCAAAGTGCCTTTTCACAACTAAAGCGGCTTGAAATACATCGCAACTGTATGTGGGAGAGGTCACTCGCTCAACTATGCCGAAAGAGCCAAACTCAATCCCCAGTACAGTCGCGGTGTCGGGTCTCTTTTCTAAAATTAAAATTCTAGCTTGAATTAAATGGGCAAAAATAAAGTGTGTGTGTGTGCGTGTGTGTGTAGGGGAGAGATTACAAACGCGGAGCTGCAAGTTACCTTTCATTTAGCTCACAGAAAAAGATAAGCCATTACAAATAGTGCAGGCCTTAGGACCAACACAGGATGCGTGTGTGCGGCCCGGTTTTTCTAAGCCATGGCGCTACCCTTTTGTGCAGAATTACCGCTTGCTGCTAATTAGAAAAATCATGTGGTAGGAAAAATAAATTACTGTATTTTTGCTTTGCCCACGTAGAGAATAGAACAGTGACCTGAAAGATAACGCTGCTTGCCGTGTTTCATGTAGTCCCCCAAATGTTGATGTAGGGATGACTTTTTTTCCTGAAGGGAAACCAGCTCCCTTCAGAAAGCAGACTGAGAGGCTTGTGAGGCTTGTTGGAGTTGGCCTCCCTCCCAAAAGCTCTTAAAGCATGTATTTAGGCTGCTTTCCACGGGTATTTAGAGGGATGTTTTTCAGATGTGTTAAACTAATCATTCTTGCTGTGTTCTCATGGAATCTCCCACACCCCAAAAATAGCCATTTACTTTACCAATACACGCATGTCATGCCTGCTTTGTTTTTCAGACCATTCAGGCGCTTCTAACACCCCAGGAACTTTGTGTCTCGTTATTTTTAGGGGTTCCTTTTTTCATTTTGGAGACACCTCTGCTACACCGAGTGTTGAAACTCCTCTGAAGGCTCTTGCCTGGTTCACTGAACTTTCTCAAAACGAGGCGATGAGGACATTGGTTTGAAGGGTTATAACCATCTCCGGTCAAACGGCTGAACGGTCTCCTAGCGCAGCGCTGCTCACGCAAAACACAGAACCACGGGCTGCCTACACTGGAAACCCAGCTGTCGTCTTTGGGGAATAATTTGAGGGACGAAACAATATGAAAGAAAAGCGAGACCTTGGCCTTTTCCGAAGCAGTTCGGCCACGCGTGACAGGCCGGTGTTCGCTGGCGCGGTGCCTGGGCAGGTGCTGCCGGGGGCATCCCTGCCCCTGGCCCTGGGGCAGCGACAGCCCCTCCGCCTGCCCGCGAAGCCCCTTTCTTCCCAAACTCCCGAGCTCACAGGGAAAGCCCCAGAGCGGCTCCAGCCGCGCCCGCCCAGCCCCTCGGGAGGCGAAGGGGCCGCGGCTTCTGCTCCCAGCTCCGGCAGCACGGAAACCGGCCGCCTCCCCGGGCGAGCAGCACAGAAGAGCAGGTACACGCCTGTGATTTAAGAGCACTTTATTGTTCTTTAAGGCTACTTTTAAGTACAAAAAAAAAAAAAAAAAAAAGATGGCCTGCCAAACCTTTTTTTTTCCCAGGTGAAACAAGGCCACAAAAGAATGGTATATTACAGATTTACAAACACAGAGAGAATCTTTCAGACTGAACTGTAGATAACCTGGCTCTGTGAAGAAACTTCACCACGTCTCAGGATGGCGAGTTCAGTTTAGTTTCCTTCCACCTCCCCCCAACCCTTTGGCTTCCGTGACAGTATTGTGTCTACTATATGTTTTACTGGACATATCACATTAAATCTTTATTGCCCTCAAATCCATTTACCTATCTCAGATAAGTAAATGTAACCTTGTAAAACAGCTATTATTGAAAATATTAGCTTTAAAAACATTATCTTATTTGTGTTTACAAAGAAATATAGGAGTCACATTTTCCACAGAGTCCATCTACAGTATTAGTATTTTACTGTTATAATGCTCAGTAGCCTGTAGCAATAACAAACTAGTGGCTATTAATGCTAATGCAGTGTTCTCATAGAATAACTGTGTTCCTGCACTTTTACTGTATTACAGACAAATCTACAACAAAAAAAAGATCAACTTTTTTCTCCAAACAAAAAAAATGAATGATTACAATAAAGGAAAGGGAAAAATTAAATAGCTACATATCATTAACAAATTAATTGTTCCTCAAAAAATACCTACAAATTTCTCTGTACATTCTTTACGCACAGCGTAACGATGGTCTTAAAGTTACCTATATAAAAAAGTGTTCTTTTAACAATCGTCCTACAGAGAGTAGGGTACTGAATGCCAAAGCAAGTAAGCGTTGACTACCCAGTAAGATGGTAGTGAAATGTGTAAAACTGGGGGCTTAGGTGTCGTTTTTTTTTTTTTAATTTTTGAAAGAAAATTGAGCAGCCACCTTCTCAACAAGAGCAAGAGCCAATCTCCCGATCTCTTTCTACCCTGCACCTTTTCCAAATTAAATAGCTTAACTTTAAAAAAAAAAACAAAACAAAAACAACAAACATAAAATAAAAGCCACAATGGACCCAATACTGTAACATAGTCCATAATACATCACGTGTAGTTCATCTTCCAACTAGTTCTACCTTTCTACACTGAACCAATCGTTTCAGGTAACCCAGTATAAAAAAAAAGCCCTAGCTGCAACGGTACTGGGAAGATGGAATGTATGGGGGAGAGTAGTTACACTTAACAAGAAGAAGAGAAGCTCGTAGTACTAGCACAGCTGTGGTTTTATGCCTGCCTCTACTGCCTAATTTCTAGTTAGTAGCTATTAATATAGCAAATGATAATAAATGCAGTAATACCTGTATAAAGTCTTCTAATGGAGGAATGTATGCTGCAACTTGGCATAGGTTTATGAATAAGCTTAAAAAAATTAAAGATCCTATTTCACAAACTGTAACAATCTGTTGTCCAGCCAAGATACGTAACGGTAGCAGTTTCTGCAGCTAGTTAAAGGTGGATTACACAGACTTAGCTTCAGGAAGCACATTCCTGTTAAGCAGACAGTGCTGCAGACAGAAACAATTACTCAGTCATGCGCAAAGCTATAGCATCCTGTACCACGCATCGGGTGTCTCTAACTGCGTCATCCGAGGCCTGTCCTGAGGCTGTCCTCGTTTGCTGGCTGCTACTAAAGTGAATATCAAATACAAATATCATAGAGTACAACTGTACCAGCAGTAAGTATATCTAGGATTGTTACTGACAAAAATAAACTAATTTTGAAGAAAAGCTAATAAGTATTATGATTCTTACTGTCTATACATTAATAGATACCAGCTATTTTTCATAAAACATGCATCGTTAAGCACTATTGAACCCTCCAACCTCAGCTCTAATCTAACAAACTGCAGTGTTTAGGAAAAAATGCCCGTGTTCTGTAAATGATGCAGTCCAGTTGCAAGCACTAAGCACCTGAAATCTAAAGAGAGAAAGACCTATAACCTGTATGAGACTTCCCCTTCCAAAGCTGTTTTGCTTTAAGAAAAATCAAACTGATAGAAATGTCATCCTTAAACCCTTTTTTTTCAGCAGTTTGCCCTCAAAATATTAGCATCTTCCAGAAAGTTGCTATGCAACTTCAGTCCTCCTCCAATAGTGCAAATCATACATGACAGTTCTTTTCAAGTATATACATACAAAATTACTTCACAGAGGGAAAAAAAAAAAAAAAAAAAAAAAAGGCAACATAAGCAAACCAGACAAATTCTAGTCTCAAGAAGCTAGTCAAAGCAAAAAGCACTTGGGTCAACCAACTAAGTGTAATGGCTTTTGTGGATTAGCGTGCATTATTTTTTTTTAAGGGGCAGCAGATTTGCATCAGAGGTTTCTTTGGTAATTGAGGCAGGAAAAAAAGGATGCTACATCGTATGAATCTTTATGAAATAGTTCCTGCTATCATCTTTAAGGGCACCCTTTTACAAATAAAAAGTGAGTACACAAAACCGTGTGTTGAAAACTAACCTCCCCTCCCCCAACACTATTTTAAGCACTGTTCAAAGCTCAGTCAAACCATGCAAATTCACAAACGTAAGGGTCCTCTCTTCATGAGACCACGGAGGGCGAGTGATTATGATTGACCATGTGGGAGGAAGGGGAAGCCTGGCCCCGCCGCGAAGCAGACTCGGGGCTGCTGGAGACTCCGTCCTTCGCAGCTTTGATCTGAAGCCATGTATCCCCCAGTGCTTTGGCAAAGTGGTCATCCACTGATCCCGTGATGGACACCGAGTTTGCCACTGGCTCAGGCTCCTTGTAGTTCTTGCCAAGGCTTCGGCGGAAGTGCTCCTCCACCACCGGGTCACAGGCAGTGGTAGCTACACGGGGGAAGGAGGCAGAAGATGCGTTACTGCCATGCACAACCCTGGCACCGACGGCTGGATTCAGACCCCGCCTTTTCTCCCCTTTCCCCAGCAGCTCAGCATTGAGCAAGGCTTCTTTTCCTCACTACGGAACTGTGAGGGAAGGAGATGGAAGGGGTTAATAAAGGGAGTTCAGTGGTTTTGCATTTCTGTGACCTGCAACAGGTAAGCATGTTCCATCTAATTCTAGTTCTCCCTCAGGCTAGTAACAGCTCCGATTCTATGGAAACCCTCTCCCAAAACAATCACAGAGAGCCTGTATTTAGGCTTGAACAAAATTAAAGATGGAAACGGTTCTTTAGAATCAGCTCCCAAGCCTTGTTGATGCCAGGCAGGTGTGAGGAGACCTCATTCTGAATGACAGCATGCCAAAAGCTGATTTCAGGGTTTCACCTTACTTTACATAGTTGTGCTAGGAGCCAGTCACAAAACTAAATGAATCGTCACCTCTGGATTAGGTACCACGAGCATTAAAACGCTGTAATACTATTACAAGAGGAACAAACAACCTTCGAAGTCAGGTTTTGAACAACAACAATGATAAATAATTCCTCAGATTAAATACGAGAGTTGCAGTTTTACAATCTAGAAACAATATATGTGTGTCTAAAGGAGATTAATTTTAAAATAAAACCTGAAAACTGTGGGATCCGTGCCATTGACCTTCGTGCCACAGAAAGGCTTGACTGATCGTAAAATAAACGTGTGTTGTGCACCGAGTGACAAGAGACAGATATTTTCAAAAACATTTACCACTGTGCCAAAGCCCATGTAACTACAGCCGGGGTTGCAACGAAGCGGCTCTCCTCAGACAAGCAACAGCAGTCTTCTAGGAAACTTTTAACATCTTAGATCCCCAACTGCTGATTTCTCTAGAAGTGTAATATATCCTCCAGGGTCTTGCTTCAGCTTCTAACTCTCGTTTTCAACAATACACTGACCTCCTTTTTGTTTTTTTTTGTTTTTTGTTTTTTTTTTAAATAACAGTAACAATCACCACCCTACTATGGGCTTTCAGGTTCCTGCCTATGGCATGGCGGGGTGGTTACCCTGACACATTCTGGTTGATGAAGCCTGGCTGCCATAAGCTTTTGGAAATGCCGCGTGTTAAAGCTGCGCATCACAGGTATATGGCTTGAAAAGAAAGGGCTGTGTTTCCCCCTGGTCACACGGTGAGAGAAAGTGAAGCGAAACAGCCCAAGGCTTCCCAGCAAGTACTGCATGAAAAGGTTTCATTAAAAGTACTAATTGCACAGAAGGCAGAAAGCTGAAGCTCCCCACTTGGGTTGCTGTAGCAACTGCCCTCCAAAGCTTTTTGTGTTCTCCTCCACCTTTCTCTGTATGGAAGAGTATCTGTCTCTGTATCTGGAGGAAGGGATTTTTGTGACTGCAGCTAAATCATAAAAGCCTACCGACTACTGTAGGACTGGGGAAACTACAGCTCCTAAAAACAAGAGCATGGTTGGATCTGCTGGCCCTGCCCGCTGTTTGTCCGTTAGACTAAAATAAACATGATGACTTACTCGGCTGTGTGGGGTGTTTATTTTTTTAAAGAAGCTTTTCCAAAACAAGGAAGAAGAACACCTCTCTCTCCCTAATTCTGAATTGGTACTTGCTACTGTGGCACAGGATTGGTGGTTAGAAGGGCTGCAGAGGGGACCTGTGCTAGCATGTCTCTGGGTAGGCCGGATACCAAGAGGTGTCTATTGTTTCACCTCCTTTGATTCCCGTTAATCCATTGGTGCCGACACAGTTAAGGTTAGTGAGACAACTCTGTTCTCCTCAAATCCGAAGGGGCAGTTCGCAGGGCGGACAGGGCACTTACTGCTGGAGGGTCTCCTGTAGGCAGGCACCGCGGACCCGCAGCCGCTGTGGGCAATGGGGCAGTGAGAGAGGTTGCAGTTCCGGTTGTTCGCGGAGGCGCAGGTGATTACGGATGGACGGTTCTGATATGCAAGAAAAAAGACAACTGTCACTGACGAAGGCGACCGGCCAGAGCCCTGTTTGCAGCACTTCAGCATCGTCACTTCAGATGTACAAACTCTGAACCGAATCCCGGCACTGCAATAAGCCGTAAGCTCCCCGATTCAGTAAGGAATATTAAACCCCAAAATATTCAGCTATTATTCCTTTGTCTGATTAAAAAAACCCCACACATTGCACTTCCAAAAAGCTTCTTAGTTATTTAAGTGGCAAGCAGCCATATGGAAAAAGGGCAGTATAAAAGCAAATTGTGAAAACCGTTGAAGTGATTTTACAGCGACTCTTTCAACTTCACAGACATTACATATGCAGAACTAAATGTCAACACATGAAATACTTGTTTCATTCTACAGCCACGTATCCCTGTGATTCCAGGACTCAGAAGGGCTTTACCAATTTTACAAGTATTTGTCTTCTTAGTGTTAATCGAGTTTTAACGTTATCAGTTTTCATTCAGAAGGTGTCATCCTAGCCTGACTAATCCTGTACTGTGTACTTCAGCCACAGATCAACAAGCCCGTAAATGAAAACTGGAAGAGCTCCTGAGCCAGTCGTGACCCTAAGTACTTTTCTGTTGTAATTCACCTGCCTTTCTAGCACCACTTACTAAACGTCATCCTTTTTCTCTACAATTCCCCAAAATGTCTGTTCACATAATCCTAATTCCACAACACAGACTTTGTACAAAGTGTAAACATAAAATCCTCTTCTTACAGCTGTTCACCATGTAAATGTTACACTGAAACAAGCCCTTAGGAAGAGAAACGTCACCTGCCGGTTTCTCCAGGTGGCTGAAGGGAAATAACACAGGTATTGGAATATTTTTTGGTTTGCATCTTTGGTAGATTTTATGACGCAAGTCCATTTTGCTGTACTCATGCAAGTTAATTGTTAAGTGTGCAAAAGATTAGCAGAATTGATGTAATTAACAGAGTTTTCATTTTGTGTGCAGCAAACCTACAGAAATCGCTGCTTTACCTACCACCACACAAAGTCAGTGCGGAAGGACAGACTTTTCACTGCCTAGTGGTACTCCAGCTTACACAGAGTAAGAGCAAGACCAAAGTAAAGGAGATGAGCTTTCCAGGGAGGTTTAACACCATTTGGCTAGGCACAACAGGAACGATGCTATCTACATCTTACTGCATGGACAGCGGAGTAAAAACAGTAAATAAAGAAAAAAAGATAATGATTTGATTTTTCTGTAAGCAGTTCACACGTGGAAGTATTTATTTTCTTTTTTTTAGAGGGACCAAGATTTTGTGCGGCTGTGAAGTGGCTTTTGAGAAGTGTATATATGCTGTCTCTTCAGAAGAGTATTTCAGACGTGCTGGGAAGTAGAGACAGACAGGTAACAGAAAAGCTCGTCTCGAGAATGGATCTACCAACACCACAAGGGATCTGAGAGGCAGGATAAGGCGTCTTACAGAATCCCCCCGGTGTGGCTCTGTGTGTACAGGTGCACTGAGCAGCTACTCACATTTATATGAAAATATTGAGATAAGCTGGGAATTTAGTAATGGTGACTCCAGTAACTTGATAACCCTACGCTGCCTAAAATAAGAAGCTATTTTTTCCCACCTCTTTATTAGAAACAGAGTATGACGAAATCCCATTCAACATGTTATGGTTAAAAAAAAAAATCCCATCCAAACAACAAATCGTCAAACTAGGGCTTCTTACTTTCAAATACACTTCATTTTATAGGATTTCTACTCTGTGCTCTTAGCAAGGTCTTCCCTCAACATCCTATTTTCCCAAGCAAACGGACTGCAATCTAGCACAAAATGTCAAAGATAACAAAAGAGAGAGGAATCTGGTAACGGGCGACAGGGATCAGCACAAGTCACACACGCCCAAAATAAGACGAGTGTCCGTGGCGGCAGCGGCTCGGCGGCAGCGGCGGCGCTCTCCGGGGGCAGCAGTGCCGTCAGTGGAAGCCCGTCCCTTCCTGCGCTGGCATCACCGAACGCCGAGAGCAAAGAGCCGCCGTTCTGCACAGAACAATACCTCTGCAATCTCCGTGCCAAGCGGTGCAAGATAGCAGCAACACGAGGGTAAAGCTAGGCGTTTTGGCGTAGCAAAATCTAAAAGACCAGCAGACCGAGCCAACCGCTGTGAAAATCCACGCGGTAGATGTGAAGTGCGGCTCCGGCGAGCTTTCATACATTGTGTATGAGAACTCCCAACCTCTGAAAGATCGTCCACTCAAAGGGTTTGGCCTTTGCAGGGCAGCACAGCAGGGGAGGAAGGAAGGAAGGAAAGGAAGGGAAGGGAAGGAAGGGCAGGCTTGGGTACATGGGCCAGTTCAATTTCACAACACTGCAGTTCATCACAACTCAATTATGTTGCTTTGTCTCTACTTGTGAGAGGGCTAACAGTGAGTCTGACATAGAAAACTGTTGTTGTATAACCTGCATAGAGAGAGCTCATCTTCAGCAGTTCTGAAGGAAAACAAATACAAGGTCCAAAATGAGAAGTCAAAATCCAAACAACCAGCCAAAATCAAACCACTCCAGCATATGGAAATAAAGCATAAAATAATCAAGAATCATTACTGTGCTTTAGGAAGAGTCACTAGGAAACAGCGATACAACATTGCTCTGAACAGCACAGCGAATGCTTTGGCTGGCTGAAACAACTAAGGTCATTCCAGCTTCTTTCACCTGCAAAACTCTCCTTTATGCCCTTTCTGTCTTGTACCCCTTCTTCAGCAGTCCCAGGAGGAGCGAGGCGGGCCAGAGGGGAGGGCAGCACGCACTGACTGCCAAGGGGAGCACGGGCGAATACCCTCCTCACCTGCAAGCTGCATCAGTTACTGCCTAGCAGGTACTGGAGCTTCGCTCGGCCACGGGCTCTGCGTTCCCCATTAAAGCACGCGCAGTCACAAGCTGAGCAAAGCATCAGAAACAGCAGGAAGGCCGAGAAATCTGGGGCAGGTACATTTAACCATCAGTGATTGATTCACATTAAACACAATGAGCTGTGACACTTATCGTGCACTTTTAAAATACATTTTGCCTGAAGAGCGGTATTGCCGACCCACTGTGACTCACAACACGTTCTGCTTACACCTGGGAAGTCCTCATTGTGTCTACAGCAAGGATTCCTACAACCACCCCGAGTTTCTTGTCAGCCTAGAAGCCAGTACCTGCTGCCGTTCCACAGAAGTCAGCGTAGGTGTGATGCCAACTGTTCGGGTTGCATCCATGCTGTTTTTGGTCAGTGCTAGAGGTTGATCCATGGTCAAGCTTGGGATTGAGGCATACATGTGATTGGCGTGAAGGCTCATTGTCGGGGCAGCGGCCCTCTCGATGGGGCTGCGACTCCTCTCTCTGTGCTCCTTCCGATAATCTCCATTGGCAGTCTTGTTTCTAATACAGGAAAGAAAAAGAGGTCAAAGGACTTACTATTGTGACAAGCTATAATGAGATATGCAACATGAAATCCCTTTATGAAACACGAGGCAATGCATTTTGCCTGGTTTGTGAGGAGGGAGAGAGAAGCCCTCAGTGGGGTATCCCCAAGTCTATCCAGCCACCTCCCTGCAAAGAGAAGCCAATGGTTTACGTTTGCAAGTTCTGACAACCAACACTTGTCTCAGCCTAGAATTTCTTCAGATACTTCTCTAAAACCACCGAGTTAAAGTCACAACTGATCATGCTTTGTTAAAACAGACACCTCCTCACTGAATGTAATATTAATTCCACCCTATCTTAACACTGCAATATTCTCTAAGCATTGCCGAAACCCAAGAAAATTTTACTTTATTCAGAAGACATAGCTGATATCAGCAAAATGAAGTGAGTCAAGGCAGGAAGCTGGATTTTCAGAGCAGAAAATGAAGAAAAAGCAAACTACGGTGCACTTATCTCAGAATAGTTTAATTGCAACTGTTCTTTAAAAAGAGCAATTTCAAACTACTAATGAATGGTGTGTCTCAGTAGATGTACTCACGTAATTAGCCCATCATCCACAGCAATTAAAATAATACTGGTTTTGTACTTCTGTGTAAGATCTTTCCGCTTCCATACCGCAGTATAACCGCCGTTAAAGGCAAGCCAGTGGATGGAAGGGAAGGCACCCCACTCCTCGGTGCAGGCAGTCCCTCAGACCCGCGCACCCCAGGGACGGCGGGAGTGATGGGCAGGCTGGACCCAGCGCTGCGGGGGAGCTCCCGGTGCCTCCGCGCGGCACAGCAAGCTTTGCCCGTCACGTCGGAAGGCGCGAGAGGAAGAAGCCGGCTCTGTGGAAGACACGCGCTGTCTTCAGAGGGCTCTTGAAGTAATTGTGAAGTGCCCTGCGTGTCTCTGTGTGTTAAGTAGGCAAAATCCATTTACAAGGGGGTTCTCCCCTCACTTCTCAGAACATACCATAGCAAGTTAATATGCAGGAGCAATCTTTAAAAATGCTCAAATGAATATTAGGCAGAGACAGAAAAGGAATAGAAAAATGTTCTCTGTAACACTAGAAATTAAAATGTATGAATAGTACGCAATATGGAAATAAGTTACAATTCCAAGAAGCTACTGCCTATTTCAATGTCTGATAAAGGCTCTTGGAAAGGAATGCTAACCGCTGAATGGGGGGGAAAAAAAGCCCTGCTAACAGAGGAGAATAAGGAACCCCAAAGCTTATCAACAAAAATGCTACAGAAGAAACTTGCAGGTTTCAAGTTTGCCCAGCACCCTGACCCAGCACAGCCATGCAGCCTCTGCAGAGCCCCGCTGCAGGGTGCTCAGTGCCCCGTCCCCGGGGTGCCCTGCGCCGTGTCCCCGGGGTGCCCTGCGCCGTGTCCCCGGGGTGCCCTGCGCAGTGTCCCCGGGGTGCCCCGCGCAGTGTCCCCGGGGTGCCCCACGCCGTGTTCCCAGGGTGCCCCGCGCCCCGTCCCCGGGGTGCCCTGCGCCCTGTCCCCGGGGTGCCCCGCGCCGTGTCCCCGGGGTGCCCCGCGCCGTGTCCCCGGGGTGCCCTGCGCAGTGTCCCCGGGGTGCCCCGCGCAGTGTCCCCGGGGTGCCCCACGCCGTGTTCCCAGGGTGCCCCGCGCCCCGTCCCCGGGGTGCCCTGCGCCCTGTCCCCGGGGTGCCCTGCACCCCGTCCCCAGCAGAGCCCCGCTGCAGGGTGCTCTGTGCCATCCTGCCCCCGGAGCCGGGCACTCGCTCTGTTGCACAGCATTTGTCTGCATGCCTCTTGAGACATGGGAACATTTAGCCTCCACAGCATCCTGTGGCAACAGATTGCACAGTTTAAACTACATGCTTTGTTAGGTACCTTTTCTTCACAGGCTTTTTTTTGGTTTCTTTTTAACCTAAAATCTAGTGGCTTGGTCTGTTACTGCCCACCGAGGTCCTGTATAAGGAAGAGACAAAGCCATCGCTCCCTGCTTATTATCCTCATGCCACTCCTGAGTTCATCTCTCTGTTCAACAACATTTTTTTTCTCCAGGGTAATACTTTCTTCAAATAAAAAACCCATTCCCATACCTTTGTTATCCTCATGACCCCTCTCATGTAAGAGCTAGAAAAACTGTAATCTTTCTTGAGATGAGGGTCCGCATCTCTGCTGTATTCAGGAACAGGACCTTTGCTGAACTCATCACAAGCCTTCAGCTTGCTCGAGACTCACTTGGATGTAGAGAAATCTGCTATTGCTGCCTGAATCAAAACTCAACCCCTTTAGCATGGTAGAAGTTAGGGTTAATATGATACCAGGCAACCAGTGACTTGAGAACCTCAGGACACAGCTTATTCTCTACAACAAATTCCCCTGACATGCTTAGGAGGGAAGAGCCAACAGAATAACAATACAATTTGTAACTGTTCAGACCCCCCCCGCCTATCGCTTGTCCCTTTTAACTAATTACAAATTAGTAGTTACAGATTAGCAGAATCGACCATAAAATCTAACCTTTAAGGTTTCACAGCTGGTGCTCAAGATGTTCTCTGAAAATCATGTGTTTCCCGAATCCTTCTTTCTAAGCCAGATTTAGAGACAAGAAAGCAGCAGACAAACCACCAGGAAATGCATTCTCCCAGTGCTACATTTCAGTATTTTGCCAGCTTTGGTAACATTTCAATTCACAAGGCTACTTTGCAGCATCAGCGTTCAGAAGAAAGAAGTTTAGAATTGCATTGCTCTGAGCTAATGACTGATGCAAATGTGTGACTTAACGGCAGCACAACAGACTCTATATTTAAAGTACAGTAGCCTCATCTTGAATTACAGTGCTGAAACAGCTATTGAACACAACAGACTAATCCTTCACCACCCCTTAGGAAGCAAGCATGGAACTTCATAAATAGGATGCCTTTGCAGGCTGGGTTTGTACCTGGACAACAGCCATAAGATAGCCTGGGAAATAATGTATGAAAAGACACGGCTAAAATCACCGTTCAAGTGATAAAGGCAATGCTGTGTAGAGATGGCTCATTCTTCTTGCTGCAATGCAGTATCTTTGGTGGCTGCAAGCCAAAAATCTTACTTTTCAACTAAGTATTATCTGGTCTACTACAATTTAAATAACCATTTGGAGGCTGCAAAACTGCGGTTCCAGCAGATTCCTACTTTTCACTGCCCCCCTCCCCCTCCAAATCCCTGTTCAGAATGATTATATTTTGTTTTAATAAGCACACTCTGATCTTTAAAGGAGAAACTTTGTTTCCTCCACCAAAAATACTTACAAAATTAAACAAAAAAAAAAAATGTAGCTACACCAGTTGTTTGGGTTTTTTCCTTAGAACTGGGATTTCAACAACTTAGTGCTGCATTTACTGGGGGGGCGGGGTTGTCAAGTGACCGGAGATGAACAAACCTATTGAAATTCCCAGGCAAAAGAAATTTTCCATTTTACACCACAGCACCTATTTCACTCATCCTTACTTTAAACAAAAAGTCACAGCCTTAAATATTTGTGAACTGGTCATTTTGCTGCCAAAAAACCCAATCAAACCCACCCCCCAAAAAAACAACAAAACTTTTCTGCAAAGATTTTTGGAAGAAGAGACCAAGAAACTGGGTAGTGGGATCAGTCTGAAGCCAGGACGCACAGCACAGTAGACAGCCCTTCCCTAAAAATACGGAAAATTATTGAGTTATCTCAGTAATCTCAGCAGACCACACCCTAGCCCTTTCTGTGGGCAAGTAATTCCCTCTTCCTAAATTAGAACAACTCCTCTTCCAGGGAGGGAACAGTTTATACTCCACTCCTCAGAAGTCCTCTCCTCAATTCATCTACCTTCAACTATACAGTCTTGGCAAAAAATTAAAAATACCTGAAACTTCTACTTCCACATCAGATATTATTTTTTTCCGAGCCCAGCTGAAAATTTTACAGCACCGTGTAGAATGGTAACGTGATAGCTCTGCCCTTGTGAAAATACACCAGCACTTGAGTCCCTCCTATTTAAATATAAATAGCAAATCCTACAGATATGTGACTCCACTTGTAAAACAACTGTACATAAAATTATTTACAGAGTATTCCTCAATTTCACATTATTAAATAATCTTTGTTGAAAATATAACTTTAAAAATAATTTTCCATTAGAAACTGAACGTTTGTTACAATTTAAAAATTATTATTAAAGTAAGTCTTTCTTGTTACAGTATTGTATGCTTTGTCTGAAGGGGCAATCAAAATTGCATGTGTTTGAAGATAATTATGTTTCACTGAAGTCAATTAGCTTAAAAAATTCCACACACACTGAACAAGTACAGAGACGCATCTCTTAGTTCAAACATCAGGGCAGAAAATTACAAAGAAGGATTTCTGACCATGTTTGAAAAATAACTTGAAAATATATACTACAGATAAACCCAGCTGTCCAAACAACTTTACCATCCCCCTGACTCCACTCTGTCTTAAAAATCAGCACGTGTAACTCTGGACTCCATCTTCAGTGGTGAAGATGTCAGTGCAAGTCCACTGGCTTAAAAACCAGCAACTAATATCAGTGAGAACCCGAGCAAGCAGCAGGCAGTGGGGCACTACCACATCAGCCAGGCCCCTCACCCTTACTTCCCTTCTAACTGAGGTGCTCAAGCTACTTGCAGGTTTATTTTAGCAAAATTATACACGAGTCCAACCTTAAATTCATTTCTCCAACACTTGAAAAACAGACATTGTTTTCCATGTTTCTCCCCAGTGAATCATAACCAAGGCTCCAGCACTTACCAAGCATCATGTGCTCAGATGGATGTCAGACCAAAACCACACACATCCTGACTGTAGCTGAAAGTCTGCTTCAGTTTGGTTCTAAGCGACGTTTCTTAATTGAAAGCAATGTTCCAGCCCTCTTCAGGAACCAGTTCAAAGGTAGCTAAAATGCATTGTTCTTAATATTTTTTTTTTGTTGTTGTACAACTTTTAAATGCAGCT